GAATCAGGCCATCGAGAGGAACGCCTTCCTGGAGAGCGAGCTGGACGAGAAGGAGTCCCTGCTGGTCTCCGTGCAGCGATTAAAGGATGAAGCCAGGGGTGAGTATTGATTAGATTTCACTAACGAGGCGCGGGCGTCGATAAGCCCTCCAGCTCGTTAACATACAGCGGCTGTACTTCCCCGCTCCTCTTCACTCGGCCGTGTTCAGGGAACTGTTTTGTGTCTAAATGTGTTTTTTCATTTTTTCTTGTCCGGTGTAGATTTGCGCCAGGAGCTGGCCGTCAGGGAGAGACAGACGGATGTAAGCAGGATGTCGGCCCCGAGCTCGCCAACACAGGACAACGAGAAGATGGATTCGGCAGTCCAGGCCTCTCTCTCGCTCCCCGCTACCCCGCTGAGCAAAGGTCTGGACAACGCCTTTGCCAACACAACAGGTAGGTAGCTGTGGCCTTGTTTTTCCCTCGAGTCTTGCAAATGAAATCCAACAAGCAGCTGCCTTAAAGAGGACATATTATCCTCTTCCACCTTTTCAAACAGTCCCCCTGTGGTCTAAATGAAACATCTGTGCTGTGCTTTGGTCAAAATATAACATGAATCAAGCACCAGAGGAGGTTTGTGACCCTGTATAAACCAGCTCTCTCAGAACGCTTCGTTTTGGTGTGTGTGTCTCTTTAAATGCAATGAGCCTTCCCCCCCCTCCCCCCCCCCGAGTTTTCATGGTGGACATCACTCCTCTGTAGGGAGAATAAAAATGGCCGACCTGCGCAAAAGTTTGGTGGAGTCCATTGGTGGAGATACCAGGGGAGGGGAGGGGATTTTTTTTTTACCAGAATCCCACTGTGACATCACAAGGAGAGCACATTTGAAACAGAGCATTTTTCTCTGTGTTGTAAGACTTATGCAGACCACAAACAAAGGACTGGATGGGTTTATTTCACATTTTGTGGGTTAGTAGACTCTCAGTTACCCAAATAAATGTTAAAAAAAAAACAGTAAAAGTGGATCATAATATGTCCCCTTTAAAATATTAAATTAATGTTGAGTTATTAGAAGAAGGGAGTGACTCTTGTGCTCTCAGAGGGTTAAAGTATACTCCAAGAGGGTAAAAATGTGCATCAATTATTGGCATGTTGTGGCATTAAAAGCGTGGTAATGAATAAAAAGTCCTGAGGCAAAAACATTTAAAAATCTACAGAATTAAACTTTCTAAATCCAGCAGATTTTTGAACACTCTCGTTCTTTAAGTGTGTTTACATCCTGTCTTTGTAAAACGTGAAACCATATTACTTTTTCACATTTTCATTCTTAAAGCAGATTTAATCAAAAGTGTGTTTCACTGTGCAGCTTATGACTCATGATGTTTCCTTTTTTGGTTCAGTTACATCGCTCTGATGTTCTTTTTTTGGTAGCATCAGGCAGCTTTGATAAATCAATCAATCAATCAATCTTTATTTATATAGCACCTTTCATACAAATTCAATTGCAGTTCAAAGTGCTTTACAAGAGTGCAGAAAAGTTATTGACGAAAAAGTAGTTTATAAAATCATTGATCAGAGAAAACGCTTTAAAAACCTGCATTACGCTAACACAGTTAGCATCAAGCTACATTGAGCGTTCAGGAGCTAAAGATCTTTACCTGTTTGTCTGTTTCTGTCTCCCTCACAGCTCTATCAAACGGTTACGGCAGCAACTCCCCGTTGACTCCCTCGGCCAGAATATCCGCCCTCAACATCGTCAGTGATTTACTCCGTAAAGTCGGGGTGAGTCCGTCCCTCCTGAACTCATCTTTCTAACATCTCAAAGTCTCCTTTTTCAGACACGAGCGCTTCTTCTTCTTCACCTCTCATCTGTTAACGTCTCCTCTGCAGGCTCTGGAGTCCAAGCTCGCCGCCTGCAGGAACTTCGCCAAGGACCAGCGAGCCAGGAAGGTGTACGCTCTGGACAACGGCAACGGCCTCAACGCCAACACGACCAGCTACTCGCAGTCGCTCCACACGTCATACTTTGACAAAGCGTGAGTCAACCCTCCCCCGCCCGCCCCCCTGTCTGCCTTCGTCTCTCAGTAATATGTTTAGAATCTGGTGCGGTAATGTCTATTTGGTTAAAAGATGGCGTGCTATGTTTTGTGTCTGATGTGCATTTCTCCCAGCAGGACAGAGGTGGTCACGTTCCCTGCCTTGATTTTGGGTAATTTGAGCTCCTCCGCCTGTTCCTGAGAGCTTTGGGTTGTTTGCATGCTGCTGTAAAAAAAACCTCTTTTTAAAATACAACTAATGTAAATAACCTTCCTGAGGGTTTGATGACATCATGACCACTAACTGTTTAATGGTGGCGGTTGTCGGGGTGTTTCCTGCTGCCTTTAACACTGAGCTATATTCATATTTATCTTTCTTTTCTAAGTAGCAGCATCAGATAACTGGGATTAGTTTGCTCCAAAATTTGCCGAATTATATTTAACAGAGTGACTTTTTGAAAAGTTTGTTGTACTGATTGTTATCGGAGTGGTTTGCTCGGTGGTTAGCTAGGAGCAAGGAGGTTCCTGGTTCGAATCCCCGTCTGACAGGAGCCTCTCTGTGTGTAGTCTGCATGTTCTCATGCAAAGACATGCTCGTTAGGTTAACTGGTGACTCTAAATTGTCCGTAGGTGTGAATGTGAGTGTGGCTGGTTGTCTGTCTCTGTATGTCAGCTCTGTGATTGGCTGCCGATCAGTCCGGGGTGTGTAACCCCGCCTCTCGCTCAATGACAGCTGGGATCGGCTCCAGCACCCAGCGACACAGAACAGGAAAAGCGGTTTAAATGATGGATGGATCTTATCAGAAACCCAGAGGAAGAGACTTTAATCTAATGTGTGTGCGGCTAAACTACTCGGACGGTTGTGTACGAGAAATTTTCTAAAACTTTAGAATTGTTTTTTTTCTTTTTTTAAATTAAAGTCTTTCTATGTGATTTTTCACACTTAAATGTAGAAATCAAGTCTCTCCTCTGAAAATAACTCTGTGAGTCATGACTGTCTACAATGGGTGTAACACCCGAGTCCCACTGTCTGTGATGTTTTCAGAGTTTTCAGAGTCCTATCTTCACTTTGTTTACATCGCCAGGACGGCCGGCTGACTCCTCCCCTCGTGTATAAAAGTTGTTTAATTGAGGGACTAGAGAAAAGAAGAATAACATACTGTACTCACTGCTTAACTGTGTTTCTAGATCACGCTCATTTCAGGTAAATTTACATGCAGTGTGAAGATACCAGCATAATAAAGATCGCTAGCATTAGCATGCTAACACAACAATGCAGCGAGAGTTGTTTTGGTTTCATGCTGGTGCTCAAGGGCGACATCTGCTGGATCAAAAAATCACATATAAAGCCTTCAAGGGGTCCTTCACATGAAGAGGAGCTCTGTATTCAGTACAGGTGAAGGCAGGGTTCAGCACAGATTAGCTTTGAGCTAACATGCTAACATAATGCTGTTTTTAATGAGATTTATTTGGATTTGGAAAATCTTTATTGTCCCCGAGGGGCGATTTGGTTTGCAACAGAGGTCCATACAGGCAATACCTCCTATAAAACAACACAAAGACAAAATACATCACATACTGAACTACCATGGATATCATCATGATAAACGTGTGTGAGATAAGAGACTGTACACAGTAAAAGTGTCCTGGCAACAATGTCTACAGCTTATTTAAAAACCCAACAGCTGATGGGACAAACGACCTCAGATATCTGTTAGATTTAGCCCTCTTAACATAAGTCAACCTCCTCAGTGTCGGGCAGAAGTCTAAACTCTGCACACGGGGGGTGCTGAGGGATGTTCAGTGTGTTGGAATTTGCTTATTTACAAACCCGACCTGAGGCTGACAGCTCAGTTTTGTGAATATCGTATAAAGTTTGTTCTCTTGTGTCGTCAAGTTTATTTCTATTGACAGTAGAGCTTTGCAGAGGAACGTCAGCTGTCTCTGGGAGTCTGGGAGATTTATTGAGGAAGTGGAAATCGAATCACCTGAATGTCTAATGGTATGCGGCCTATCTGTAACGCTGTCTCCCTCCTGTCTGCTGCTGGAGAGAGCGGCAGTGACACAGCTTGTGGAGTTTCTGCTGAGTGAGAGAGAACTGAAGAGGCAGAGCGTTCTTTATTGAGAATGAAAACACACAACAAGGTGACTGTCCCTCTGGATACAAAGCAGGATGTTTGTTATGTACACTACTCGCCGTGAGTCAGGAGGACGCCAAGGTCTGTTTGTCTCAGTCACTGTAGGAGAAGAAAACATCATGACGGCCTGTTGGAGAGCAAAGAGCTGAACCTCAAATATAACAAATGAAACACTCAGTATGTCAAGAGCTGAACAGCTATCAGTCTGACAGTTTGGCTTGTTTCCATAAGTCATGAGAAAAGATTTTAAGCCAATGGAAAAAGTAAAAATCGGCCTGTTTTAGAGTTAAAAAGAAGACCACACTGGCCCTTCCTGTTTGCTTTTATTGACATTTTCCCGCCATCTTTTTTTCAGTGCTGAACACATCCCCCCCCCCGTTATGACTGACTCAGGCTTAAAACCATCCAGGGGAGACTTAGTCCAAACTTTAACCCACAAAGGAAACCAGTTCAGTCAGGATAACTCTGCAGACTCCGCCCACTTTTCTTGTGTTCACGTTCTATTTTTAGCAAAAACACAAAAAGACACGTCGTCTTTGTGTCGCCGCTGCAGATTCTATTCAAGTGAGCGGACAGTGAAGTTCAGATAAACGAGAGGATGAAGATATTATTATCTGACACTTTGAGACGTTAAAAAAAAAATCTATTTTCAGTTTGAATACTTTATCTGCCAGGAAAAGGAAGAAACAGTGTAGGTTTGTAATTATATTTTTTAATTTAAACAAGAAAGTGAGACGAGAATAGAATACTTTATTATAATTATAAAGATGTGCTCTGACATGTCAGTGCCTCGTCTTCTCTCAGTGTGAGGAGGTAACACAGTAATCAATAAATATTAATACAAGTCAGTGGTCGTGGTTATTCTACTTGCCCTTTATTGATCACATCTAGACAGACTTCAGCTCCTTAATGGGTAGAAACTGTCGAGGAATCAGGAGGTTGAGACACATTGGCTCTATGCAGTGTTCTTAAAGGGATATTCACCCGTTGAAACATGAGTCTGTATTGACATTGGGTCATATATGTAGTCGAAATGTGAAATACATTTTGAAGTTGGTGCCTTCTTGGCTGAGAAAAGGCAGAAAGTGTCTTTTTGGCTCATGTGGATGAAAGACACCAAATCCCAGAATGCACAGCACAGCAGGCCACTTCCACTAAGGTCCTCGATTTCAGAATCAGAATCAGAAATACTTTATTAATCCCAGAGGGAAATTCGATCGTTACAGTTTCTCCAAAATACCTCCAAAAAAAACCGACAGGCCGGTCTTGTGTCGCGGCGGGTCAGGTTTCTAATGATACAAAGCTTAATGCAAATGGATGAAGTATCCCTTTAAGAAGTAGAGCTTCAGCGGAGGTTTTCACAGCATCAGAATGAAGGAAAAAACGACTCTGCATTTCATAAGGAACATGCAGTCGAACTTAAATGTTGAAATTTAAATTAGAAAGAAAACCAAAAGTTTGCATTATGTCGTGATTTATTCTCCTATTTCAAACTTATTTCAGAATCAGAATCAGAATCAGAATCAGGTTTATTGCCAAGTACATTTACACATACAAGGAATTTGACTTGGTGTATTGGTGCTAAACAATTAACAAGGAAATAAAGCAGAACTAGCAACAACTTAAATAATACAGAATAAGAAGATATTACAATATATAAAATAAAATTTAAAAATGTAAAATATAAAAAATAAAGGTAAAAAATACAAAAGGTGCAATGTAGGAGCTTTGTAGACGTTTCTGACTTTTCTTGACCCTCCTTGGCTTCCATACTAATCAGCTTGTTTAATAGTTGCTGGTGCTGTGGGGACTTTCTTTAACTGGAGCATTTTATCACTGGGAAACCGTCTTGCTAACTGGTCACATCTCTTCTTGGTTCCAGTATAAATGATTTGAATAATTTCTGATTTGAACGTTTTTGTCTTTTTGTCTTCCAGCCGGCCGGTGAACGGACTGAAGCCTGGAGCTCTGACGGCCATCACCGTCCCCCCTGCTGCCTCCTCCCCGGGCTTAGTGCCCCTGACTGTGTGACATTAACACACCCTGACCCCCCCTCCCCAACACACCCGTTGTGCACTTGAAATAAAAAACCTAAATATTTAAAGAGACGAACAACGAGGGAACACAAATGTCTGATACTGTAAAAACATTGTGGATGTTCTGTAAAGTCTGGACCCTTCACGTCCTCTCTCACTCTTTGTTCTTACTCGACTCTCGTGCTGTAACTAACGGGTCCCTGTCTGTTTATTTGACGTGTTACTGTTCCTGCTCTCAAGATGGCGCCACATCGACTCCTTCAAAGATTTCCTGACGAACTTAAAGTCTTTATATGTGATTTTTCACACTTAAATATAAATCAAGTATCTCCTCTGAAAATAACTCTGTGAGTCATGACTGTCTACAATGGGTGTAACACCCGAGTCCCACTGTCTGTGATGTTTTCAGAGTTTTCAGAGTCCTATCTTCACTTTGTTTACATCGCCGGGACGGCCGGCTGACTCCTCCCCTCGTGTATAAAAGTTGTTTAATTGAGGGACTAGAGAAAAGAAGAATAACATACTGTACTCACTGCTTAACTGTGTTTCTAGATCACGCTCATTTCAGGTAAATTTACATGCAGTGTGAAGATACCAGCAGAATAAAGATCACTAGTATTAGCATGCTAACACAACAATGCAGCGCGAGTTGTTTTGGTTTCATGCTGGTGCTCAAGGGCGACATCTGCTGGATCAAAAAATCACATATAAAGCCTTTAACCCTGATTTGTGAAACATTATGCAATCAAAAAGAAAAGTCTTCTTAGCTGCTAAATGTGGTCAACTTCTACGAGCAATAATGTTTGTATTCGGACAGAAACGAGCACTAATATCACCGAAACTATGAACAGAAAATAACCGGGTTAATGTGCAGATGTCCCCGATAATCTGCTTTAATTATTGATGTTTGAAAATGTCCAACATGTGAGCGTCACAGGCGGATGTTTTAAACATGATCTCTTCTCGTCTTGAACTCGTTCCTCCTGACCCCTGTTCATTATTTACTTTCCTCCTTTTGGTTTAAATGTCGTCTAAAAGAAGGGGCGTCTTTGTGTCATTGTCGTGCGTCTAACACACCACCTTTCCTCTGAGCCATGTGACATGATGTGTACAGCTTTTGGTCATATTGATCGTTATTTATCGAATGGGAGGAGACGTCGTCGTCGCCGGTTAAACGAGCGTTCTCGTATCGTGTAGTTGAAGTGTTTTATCTGACGTTTTTTTGGGGGGGATTTTATTACTCAGCACATTTTTCAGTACTGTACAGGAAGAGCAGGTGAAGCACTTTGACTTTGTGAACTCAATTTTATTTAAGTGCAATATCACTTCTTTTGTACGGAAGACGAGAACAGCCGTGCTTGCAATTTCTTTTTTTGTAAAATATTGCAAAATCTTAAAATGTGTTCTTACTTGATTGGATAAAAAACTTGTTCTCTTGAAAATGCTCACTCTGAGAAGTAGCCTCAAGTGGTTTTCTTGAGATATGGAGGAAATTAAGTCCGTATATTAAAAACGAGCTTTGGTATCTGAAGATGTTGAAATCACTTTGGATCTCGAGGTTACGGCAACGCTCAGCTGTTTTCATCTTCGGTAGTTGGTTTTAGTTTCTGGGTTTAATTTATATCTGATTTTTTTTCACGGCATGTTTTCATTAAAGATGTTTACATCTGTAACGGTGTGTGTGTGTTCTGTTTCAATCAGTTCTGACTGTGGAGGAAATGAAGGCTGCAGAACAACTGTGAACATTTCATTTATTTGTGATATGAAGATAAAATTGTGATTTATTGTGCAGGCATACCGACCATTAAGTAACAATTTATCCCTTAGTTATTGTTGTCAACTGTTCATTTTGGATTTCCAGTCGGCAGGCTAAAATGTCTGGAGATCTTCAGAACATAAAAGACAGAAGCAACTTTTTGTAACCAGATAAATTACTTTAAATGATTACTCACTAACTGCAGTCAGAGCAAGTAAAGTATTTACTCTTTTAAACATTTTTCATCTTCTCTGCAGATAAAACAAGTTTTTCAATAACTAAAACAGACTGACCTTGTTATGAAATCTATTCTATGACTTAATTATCAAGCAGCCATCAGCTTCAACTGATTCCAGTTCAAAGTGAAAATGAAATGAAATGAAAATCTGCAGGTTGTTTTTTTAAACTTGCTAGAATTGAAAGTAATCACAGCATCCTCGTGTTTTTTCTTGATTAAACAGATTTGAGGAAAAAGGTTTTATGATTCTACATCATGATTTAAACTTCTGATTTAATGGATGAAAACCCACTAAAGGTTCAAATAAATCATCTTTAAAAAAAAAAGACACCATGTAGAGGACTCAATTTAAAGTAGAAACCTGCAAAAACTGAGGTCAACACTGCCCTCTGCTGGACAAAGATGTTAATGCAACAAAAGAGGCAGAATATTTAATGATGAATTGAGCATTTTGCTCATTTAATTCTTCATATCCATGTCTCAAAACAGACACATAATACATGATAACATTTCCTGATCATGTTTGTGAATTACACAAAATACATTTAGCAGTCTTCTACTGACGCTGCATTCATAAAACGCAGAACTGTTGACCTCTTGCACCGCAGCTGTCTCACTGATAACTTGAGTTTTGTTTACAGGAAATGTATACGGGAGGATTATTAAACACATCCATTAGTGAACCCAGACTCGAGGCAGAGTATTTAAAAGCCCTGATTAGTCGACTTTGTACCAGAGGGTGTTATGTTCACATCTGCCTCCGTGCAGCAGTGAGGTCAGTAAAAGTCCAGCGTGTGGTTCAGCCGCTCCCTGCTCTCTTCTCAGCCGCCTCCTCTAGCTGTCTCTGCCTCCTCACCAGGATCTCCATCCTTTTGGCTTCATTTCTTGCTCGCTCCTGAGCTCTCAGCTCCTCCACATCTTCCAAGAATCTGTGCCTGCAGGACGGAGGGAAATGTTGTGTAGATGTGTGAAATAGGAAAGTACAATATTACAGCGTGGCTCGGGGTAAGAAACAGCTATGTTTCCTCTCATTTTACTCCTAGTAAATGTAGATTTTTTTAAAGCAAGAGACGCTGATAAATACATGTTTGGCATTTTGATCTCTGCCAGTAAAAAAAAAACATTAAGGCGCTGGTTACTTCCTGAAACCCTAAGATACAGGAGTGGATTGATAGTGTAAATTATATTTATGTTATGGAAAGGATTACTTTTTGTTTGTGTCTGCAGAAAGGTGACCACAACCAAGGACCTTGTTAAATTGTCTAATCTTAGCAAACTTCATTAGCTTTGACTTTCTCTGATGTGTTTTGAATGAATCCTGTGTATACACTTTACCACATTGTACCTAGTTCTAAATGTAAAAAAAACTGAGGACTGCAGAGGAAGTTCAACTGTTTCTCTGTCTCAGTACTGTGTGATATTATCTGCTGCTGAAAAGCTCATTGAAATCATTTCAAAAGCAAAAACTTGACTATGTAAAAAATAAAGAGCCAAAGGAAGTATCTAACACCTACCTTACTGAAATATGGCCTTTTATAAACAACTCAAAATCCAGGACATTCATCAAATTAAATTAATTGTAACTCAAATGTAACTGAAATAAATAATAAAAAATAAAATAATAATAATAATAATAATAATTAATTAATTAATTAATAAATAAATAAATAAATAAATAAATAAATAAATAAATAATATTATAAAATAATAATAATGAACAAATAATAAAAATAAATAATAATAATAATGATAAATAAATAAATAATAAGAGCCAAAGGAAGTATCTGGCACCTACCTTACTGAAATATGGCCTTTTATAAACAACTCAAAATCCAGGACATTCATCAAATTAAATTAATTGTAAATCAAATGTAACTCAAACAAATAATAATAAATAAATAATAATAATAATAAAATAAATAATAATATTATAAAAATAATAAATAAATAAATAAATAATATTATAAAAATAATAAATAAATAATAATATTATAAAAATAATAATAAATAACTCAAATGTCGAAATTTGGACTGGGATTGATCCATAGCACTACTTAATACTCAGATACAGAGGTTTATAGTTGGTTTTTTTAGGGTTTAGTTACTCTTTAAAACATGAGGAGGGGACACATAGATGAGACACCGGAAGCTGATCTGCTGTTATAAAGCAAAGTGGACCAAGGTGCATTATGTAACACTGCAAAACACACCATGTTGAAGGTGTTGACTCTTCCAGGTGATGATTTATAAAACCCCACATTACACACAGCATGCAGTGAATCATAAAGTTACCTGTTAAAGAAAACTGCAGCGAGTCCGACGACCAGGGTCCCGAACAGAACCGGTTTGGTGAGACGCTTCCCGGCGGACAGCTGGTGGTGCTGCTTCATCGTAAAGAAACCCAGAGAGAAGACTACAGGAGGAAATAAGAAGAGAAACGTGAGCTGACCTTTCTGCTGTCCATTAGCTACGTGACTGCTCGTTACACACCCCCTTCTTCTTCTTCTTCTTCTTCGCGTTTCTCACCGATAACGACTTCCGGTTCCCAATTTTATTTAATAAAATAATCTAAAAAACATCATAATTACGCTTTAACCACCCGTGTTGATCACACACGTAGTTTAGTTCGTGTTTAATTGATTTCACTAACATTTTAGTCGACATAGAGTTATTTAAAAAAAAACAATGTTAACGTTAAGGCGGAACCATGTGAAGGCGGAAACCTGTCGTAGTACGGACGGATTTCAGAGTCGTTTGTTTGTTGGTTTTTCAAAACGTCGATGTAGTAAAATCTGGAGTAAAAGCTAAAGCTAAGCTAACGATGTGGAAGAAGAAACCGAGTGAAGGTTCAGATCGGTTTGAATATTTACAAACTCTGGTCGGTGAGTTTCAGGACACCGACAGTGAAGGTGAGTTCAGGTACTGATTCTAAATGTCTGTGCAGGTTAACTCTTTAAAAAGTATGAAGTTGATCTCCGGGTCTGAATTAAAGGTTAAAGATAAAGTAACATCTGTCTTATTATATTATTGTCTTTGCTGTTTTAGTCTTTTCAGATCTGTGTTTATTTCTTCTGTGACTCACTTTGGGCTGAAAGCTTTTATGTATGAAAAAGTGCTTTATAGATAAATTTGAGTAAAGTTGGTTATTAAGTAAAAATGAAAACAACAAATTAAACACCTTGAACTAAATGTAAATATGTAAACATTTACATTTAAACATAATAAACATGTAAACACAATTTGACACAAAACTTCACTCCCATAAAACACATGACCTGCTTCATTATTATCATTACTAACATTGTGTTATTATTGTATTACTATTATTATTATTTAACATCAATATATATATATATATATATG